TCCAGTCTAAGATTTTAGATTCTATGTATTTATAAGAGATGTAGTACAGAATTTTTACAATAGCTTTTCCTCAAAGCTGCTCTTCTCTGATAATCCCTTCACTGCCTCTCCCTTCCAATCAAACTTTAAAAAAGTAGCCTGCACACAAAACTGCCTCTTTATGGAAACAGTATTTGAACTTCTTGGATAAGTTAATCTTCGTTTGTCCATCATTAACTTTTTAAAATAAGAGTTCCTAAGCAAAGGTACTTCATCTTTTGTATCATCTGCCAACGTAGCATCTCATTAGTGTTTCTGCTGTAAATAACAATGCAGTAATCTACCTTCTGGAAGAAGAGCTGCAATAAAGAATCCTGGGAAACAAGAGCTGCACTATTATACTAAAAAATAAAGCAGCTTCTATCTGTAGGGTTCTAGAAGACTTTATGAATTCTTAGAGGTAATAAAGACAGTGATTAAATAGTAACTAAAATGAGAAAATCTTTTTGAAATTGCCTAGCATAGTGCCTGCATATAATGGGCACTCAATTAACATATGCTTTTGTTTCTTTGTTTCTGAGCACCAAAGCCTAGCACATTAAATTCCTTGATCAAGGATACAAACATTTGCAAATACACGCCGGGTGGGAAAGTGGTTCAGGCCACAGATTGGTGTTAGGCTACTGGAGTGTGAACTCTAGCTCTACCACTATTAGCTATTTAACATTCTGGAAAAATGAGGGTCAATAATAGTACCTTCCTCCCAGGGTTATTGTAAAAATAAAATAAGATAGTTCAGGGGCAGTCCTTAGAAACACGGCTAGCACTCAATAAATGTTAGCTAATAATAACGGTATTGAGAACCTACTGTGTTCCAGGCACTGTGCTAAGTGAATTATGTATATTATTTCTGTTCTTCACGGCAATCCTTGCAAAATAGGTACAACTTCCATTTCGTAGATAAAGAAACAAATACAGGGCTGGCCCCGTGGCTTAGCGGTTAAGTGCGCGCGCTCCACTACTGGCGGCCCCGGTTTGGATCCCCGGCGTGCACCAACGCACCGCTTCTCCGGCCACGCTGAGGCCACGTCCCACATACAGCAACTAGAAGGATGTGCAACTATGACATACAGCTATCTACTGGGGCTTTGGGGGAGAAAAAAGAGGAGGATTGGCAATAGATGTTAGCTCAGAGCCGGTCTTCCTCAGCAAAAAGAGGAGGATTAGCATGGATGTTAGCTCAGGGCTGATCTTCCTCACACACACACACACAAAAACAAATTCAGAGAGGGTGAGTAACAGGCTCAGGCTTACTGTCAGTGGCAAAGCCAGGGCTCACGCCATGTTTGTTGAATCTAAGACTCTGCCTCTCAAAATCATATATCTTTACCTTGAAATTGTTTGATGAATATAAAGAAAAATGGTGAAAATAGGTTGTATTGCCTTAAATACAAAGTATAAAAGCAATAAACATCCTTTCGGCAGCCATTCTCAAGAGCTCGATGTTAATGCTCAGAAACATTTCTTTTGTCCCCCAAACCAAATCAAGAGGAAAATCTTTTTTTAACAAAATCTACTATAGTCTTCAAGTTCTAATCCTAGTATTGTCACTAGCTAGTTGTTGCTAGACTCCTGTTTCAGCACCTCTAAAATGAAATTTTGAGTTACTAAATCATAGAGCCTTTCCCACTCTAAAATTCTTCTCTGCCTGTTGGTCTAAAGGCATCTCAGCATGTTGCTGCCATCCAGAGGAGAAAATATTGTTGCAGGCCCAAAGAAGGCATAGACTGTGGTGACAATAATAGCTACCATTTATTAGGTGTCTACTATGTGCCAGGCACTTCGCTGGGCATATTCTATAGGTATTTCTATTCTGCAAAGTAGGTGTTACCCATGTTTTTGAACTGAAAAATCAGAATTTAAAAAATTTAAGTAACTTGTTCCTGGGTCACTCAACTAGTAATGAGTAACTAAATTCTGATTTGAGTCTGATGTTTTTTCAGCAATGACAAGAACCAAAATAGAAGCATCTTGCATAAGAAATCAGTGTTTGCAAATCCATCCTTTCAGCCAGAGCACAGAATAGGCTGTGTTCCACCCTTCCTGGGAGGACCCTGGACCTAAGGGCCAGCACGTGGTACCACGTGCACGTCTTAAGCTAGTCAGAGCTGTTACTACCGTAGCATAAAAATTATTTGTTGAGTCTGATAAAATGCAGAGTCCCATATCCAGAGATTCTGATTCAAGGTCTGGAGTAGGGCCCAGGAATCTACACTATAAACAAGTACTCCACGTGATTCTGATTCAGATGACAAACACTGCTCAGTCATACTGGATTGTAGTTTCTATAGGGGGCCTGAACAATGAGTGGGTCATATAGTTTCCTGAGGCCTATCTGGGATGTGCACCATGTACTTTTTCAAAGAATGGGCTGCCAAAATGAAGGTGGCATTTCTAAACCAGGTGTTTGTCCTCCAGTTCCAGGATGGGCTTGAGGCTTCCTGGGTGGGAAACTGCACACTACAAGATGGGCCTTGCACTCTTGCCTCAAGATTTCATACGTATGAAAGGTGTTTCATATAGTCCTAAGTATACCAACCATCCCAGTCATGACAACAAGCTTCCCTTTCCAGTTCACATAGCTTACCCACAGCCTCCTACTCAGCATTCGGCTGTTTTTTATGCAGGTGAAATCATTGGACTGGAGTGGGCCTTGACTCAGTCTGGCCAAGGACTAGAGGTGTTCTGGCACTAAAAGATTCTGCTCAGCAAGGGCAATGGTAATTGGCTAAACAACCAGATAGTCTCCACCCGGAATATGGGGTGGCAGACCTGAGACCATTAATCACTAGGTAGTTAGAGATCAGAACTGATAAGCAGAAAGCTGTGCCCTCCGTAAGGTTCCCCACTCCACATGGCAGTGTGAGTGGGCACTTCCTTAGACTCCCTGCAGAAATCATGACTGCACACCCATAAGCTCCCAGAGAACACTGATTCTCATTCTCTGAATTCCAGAACATGATCTCAGTGCTGGAGGGGGGAGTAAGTGCTCAGTACGTATTAACTGAAAGACAACACCAAAAAGGCGCTTTCACATAGTCATTGATTCTCAAAACTATTTTGGGAGTGTTATTTATTTATCTTCAGCCCCGTCTCACACATGAGGAAACTAAGGTTCGGTGATGTTAATGACTTGTTGGAAGATCAAAGAGCTCATCAGTGGTGGAGCCAAAACTCTTAGAAGATATAATACCCAACTAATAACCCAAGTTCTCATTTCCACAACAAAACTCTTTTAAATCATTTTTCCCCATCCCCATAACTGCTGCTGTAGTTCAGATCTTCACATTTCTTATCTCTCAATAGATCTTCTGCCCCAGGTTTTACCTCCAACCTACCCTCCGCCACACTAACAAAGTTAACTTTCCAAAATGCAAATCTGGTCAAGTCACTTACCTGATCAAGTCTATTGCATACAAGGCAAAGGTCCGAATTCTCATGGTGTTCCAAGCCCTCCATGATCTGGCCTTCCAGCCTTGCTCTTCCAGGCTCATCTCCACCATCCTATTCCATTCCTATCAATTCCTCCAGTTTCCTCAAAACACGTTTTTCCGGTGTTTAACATGCCACTTTTTCTCTTCCTTGATCTATGTTAGCTTTTCCCAGCCAGCTATATATATTTAAGTATACAACTAGCTCATGCATTAAAGAGAATGCATAGCAAATTTATGGTTTAAAGCATGATAATAAAAGGCAATCATGCTCCCACCACCCAGTTTAGGAACCACATTACCAAAACCCCCTTAAGATAGTGTTCTTTTATGCCTCCACGCCTCTGCACATGCTAGGATGCCCTTCCAGGCCTTAGTCTGCATAGTGAACCCATCATTTGGAACCTCAGATTCTCCTTTACCTCCTCTGGAAAGCCTCCATTGACTCCCTTGAGAGACTGAATGCTTCCATTATATCACCATTATGACATTTATAACAGTATTATATTTGCTTACATGTTTGCCTCCCTAGTAGATTGAAGATACCAAATATTATTTAATCCTTGAATCTCCAGCAGTCAGCATAAAGGCTAGTTACACAGCAAACGCTCAATAAATAGGATGTCCACACAACCTGGTCTGCCTAGGACAGTCCTGTTTTATGCCTGTTGTCCAGGAGTAATTATTAAAATACTTCCTTTTACTCATGAACATGTCCTAATTTAGATAACCAATTATATGATCTATCAATAAATGTTGTTGAATGGATGAATTAATGATTGGAGAAAGCTTTTAATGATAGAATCTAGGCAGGAAAAGCTGATATGTAAAGATTTTCAAAAATTCAACAGCTGGCCACTACATCTCCTTCCTCCTCCAGAAGTGCTTGACTTGCACAGACCAGATACTCAATAACTTCTTTTGCACAAATAAGTTGAAGAATAATGTTAGCATATTCCTACTTTAAGAAAGCCTAGATATAGGGGGCCGGCCTGGTGGCGCAGGCAGTTAAGTGCACGCGCTCCGCTGCGGCGGCCTGGGGTTTGCCAGTTCGGATCCCGGGCGCACACTGATGCACTGCTTGGAAAGCCATGCTGTGGCGGCGTCCCATATAAAGTGGAGGAAGATGGGCATGAATGTTAGCCCAGGGCCAGTCTTCCTCAGCAAAAAAAGGAGGAGGATGGGCAGATGTTAGCACAGGGCTGATCCTCCTCACAAAAAAAAAAAAAAAAAAGCCTAGATATAAAACATGAATTTATAGTACAGATCAATGTGACAGAGTTAAATATTATGTATGTTTACTACTTGATGAGAACTAGCTGGTAGATAAATTTAAAGAGGTGACTTTACTACTTGGTGCAGATCAGAAATGTAGATTAAATACTGCTGAAATGATAACAGTCATGGTAAAAATTTAATAGATGCACTTTTTAAAAGAACCTCTCTCCAGTAAATATGCACATACCAGTTAGCTGCACTTGCTCTTAGGGAAAGATACAACCTCCTTGAGTTTGATGTTATAAATAAAAATTTTATTTAAAGCTTCTTTTGTTATTCAAATAGAAAAAGCTGTTTTTAGCTACTGTTAAACAAAAAAATGGAAAGTGAGGTAATTCATCTTTTTGACAATAATCTTCACTTCGTCCAACAGTGTCATCTTCTTTGAAAGTCAAGGTAATCCTGGTAAATAAGGCTTTTAATAAATTACAAATATGTAGTAGGTTCTTGTCCATTTTTTTCCTAACTATTTAATGCACTGTTGCATAGCAACAATTTTTTTTTTCTGCTGCTTTCTTGGAAGTCTGAGAGTCTGAAATCTGCACTGGCTTGGTTGAGCTTGGGAATTTTTCTGGTACCAGGGATGCAAATATCCATTGTAGAAATCAGTAGCTGTTAGTGTTTTCTTGAGCATCACTGATTGAACACCAATCCAGCCATTCTACAGGGCAAAAGACAAATAGTGAACAGGCAGTGGTGACAAAACTGGTACTAAATTTTAGTTTATAAAACTTTTATCACGAAAACAAATAAACCAACAAATCTTTACTATATGCCTTGATGCAAACAGTACTGTACTAAGTAACATATATGATTCTTTGACTCTAAAAGTTTATTACCAAGGAGTGATAACAAATGTGCAGACCTATATAAACCTATTTAAACACAAAGGGAGCAGAATAAGAAGGTATGTTGTATTTGCAGGGTGCTTTACAGTTTTCAGAGTATGTCCATGTATCTTATTGTTACTGGTCGTCAAAATATAGCCATTGTAAAAAGTAGGCAGATCCAATATCAGCCCCAGAGAAAACTGATTTTAGAAGAGAAAACTGATGCCCAGAGAGGGTGAGTGATTTGTTTGAGGTGACACACCAGGTGGGACTCAAACTCACATGTTCAGACAACCCCAGCTTCTTCTATGGGAGCAAACTCCAGCTTTGTAATACAGATATATACAGACACAGACAAGGACAGCAAGACATATACACCCAACACTGTTCCAGAGTTAAATCGAAGAGAGATGAAGAGAGATTGATGCAGGAGTTCTGTATGTACAGTCTGTGTAGGGCAGATCAATCTATCACACATTTTAAATATACTTTCTTGAGCATGGAACATCGCACATAAACACCACGTGAAGGAAAATATCCAGGAAACAGAAGGATTGTGGAACACTTCTCAGGACAACGCCATTGTGTTATAAAACAATAACAGTTCCAAAGTCATTTTAAATAGTTAAGAAATCTCTCTATCCACTGTTGAACAGTAAAAGTAGGACACACTGTAGTAATTCAGCTAGATACTTCGATATGACTATCTTTTGTGATAGTCAATATTAACAAGATGACTTAAACAAGACTTGCTAATTATTAACAAGAGCTTGTTAGTTAAATTGGATTACTAAGAATATTCAAGTTTCCTTTAAGAAAGCACTAAAGTTACTGAATATTCTTTCATTGTTTGAGTAATAATAATGCCTTGGCAAAACTTCATCACTTTCAAAAAATTATACTAGAGATTCTACTATTTCTTAAGAAAATTAAACTGTCCATTGGCTCAATCTGATGGATCAGCAGTTGAATGAAGCCCCAACTAAAAACGAGAAATGATACAAACTATAAACTCAGTAAAACAAGTATGATAATTTGAAACTAAAGGAAAAGGTACCTTACAACAGACCAGCAGTATTTGTGAGTGTTTGTGGTATATTACTGATCCTGGAGTAACAGCCTGTCCTGTTAATTTTGGATCTAAAAAATGGGGGAAAAATAAAGATAGGAGAGTAAATAGTTATGCAATTTAATGTGCTTCTTAAAAATCAAAAACATCTTGGGAGGCAGTACTAATACTGGAGAGGACACATCTGCTGATGCCCCGACTTTGTAATCCAAAACTTATGGGAGCCATGGTGCTCTGTGTGTATCTCAAACCCAAAGGGAGGCTTTCCATACACTTAAGAAGCTACGAGTCCTTTACTCAGTCTCCCAGAGATCAACGTAGAATGTCGAATCTAGAAGTTTTGACCATTTTGGGGAAATAACTATTTCTCTTCTGGAGAGAGATACAGGAGGCTTAGGATCTAAGCTGGCCTTTCCAATCCATGACCAAACCAGTCCCAGTTCCTAGATTCCCAGGGAACTCTGACACCCTCTGAACTATACCAGCTCCCTCTGTGGCTCACACTCCTTCAGTCCACCATGTTGGAAGGGCACTGTTGGGCCTTAGAATGAACCTGTGTCATGACATGCTACTCCCTAGCCTAAGAGTCTCACTGAGCTGTCTGGAGATTTTCATTATGATATTCACCAGAATGAAATTAACCAAGTCATTTTGCACTCCCTGAAAACCTTAAGGTAGGAAATCACAGAGCTTAAAATGGGGTAGTAACACTGCTCTGCCTACCTCCCAGGTTCTTATAATTAAATGAGAAAATGCATGTGAACGGACACTGCAAAGAGTAAGACAATAAATGAATGTAAAGTATTATGATCATTGAACTGAAACAAACTAAAAGAATCCTTATATTTAGTAAATGTGACCTATGGTAAAACAGATATATTTTCAAATAGACTATATTGAAAACATTTTCTGTGTCAGCTATTCAAAAGTTAGTACCAGTGAGGACTGAACTATTAACTTCTACCAAATCCAGAAGTTTAATGGTATTATCCATCCAGAGCGTCTGCAACGGAATCTGCAAATAAAATTAAAGAAGGTATGGTAAGGAAATACACTCAGCCCCCAAACCTTTTTCAACTACTATTTTAGGTTAATCTGGTCTGACTTCTCTCTCAATTACAGAGGAATTGGGAACTCAGTCTCTAAATCTCATGGAGCAGAATATAAACATGATCCTCCACATTAGTCTCCAGGATTTATAAGATCTTAAAATTAAACATGATATAAAATCAATTTTTATATCAATATTTCTAATTAAAAATGTATCCTCATTATTAAAAAAATGCAGGCATTATAGTAGTTATGTTAAAAACATTTAGAAAGTATTCTGTACTCCCATCCCCAGAGGTAACCACTGTTAATAGCTTGATGTGTACTTCCTTGTATTTTTTTCTACAAATATTATTATTACAAAAATCTAGAACATACTGTTTTACAAGGAACTCTTTTTATTTAACCATAAACCATGAGCAACATTTCATCAGTACATACTTATCTATTTTACTTTTTATCTGCTGCACAGTATTCTATTTTATGACTGTATCATAATTTATGTAACCAATACCTTTATGATGGATATTTCAGTTATTTTCAATTTCTTGCTATTATAAAATTTTTAAATGTGGTAATAGCCTGATAGATATATCTTTGAGGACTTTTATATTTCTGGAGAATAGTTGTTTTTTTTTTTAAGTGGACTACCTAGATTAAGAGCATCAACATGTTATTGTTAAACTGCCTTGATAAGAGAAAAAAAAAAGACTACCTATTGCTGTTTATTATTAGTGAGGCCAAGGAGCATTCCATATATTTTCTTGCACATTTTATTTATTTCTCTGAAAACTGCCTATTTATGCCCTTTGCCCATTAAAAAAAAAAAAACTGAGTTTTTCATCTCTTTCTTATTAATTTGAGAAAGCCTTTTATATCTCTAGGAAATTAGCCCTTTAATTCTCAGATGTGTTATGAATATTTTTCCAGTTTGTTGACTTTTAATCTTGGGTGCAGTAATTTGGAGTAATATTTATCAGTCTTTTCTCTCATGGCCTCAGTGGTTCAGGTCATGCTTAAAAAGGCCTAGCCCACACTTTAAGATTATTAAATATTATAAAATTATTCAACTGTGCTTTTTTCCAGTCCTTTGTGGGTTTGTTTTTTTTTTTTTTTTTTTGTGAGGAAGATTAGCCCTGAGCTAACATCTGTTGCCAATCCTCCTCTTTTCTGCTGAGGAAGATTGGCCCTGGGCTAACATCCATGCCCATCTTCCTCTACTTTATATGGGATGCCGCCACAGCATGGCTTGACAAGCAGTGCGCTGGTCTGTGCCCAGGATCCGAACCTGCGAACCCCATGCCGCCGAAGCAGAGCGCACAAACTTAACCACTATGCCACCAGGCTGGCCTCTGTGGTTTTGCTTTTTAAATTTAAATCCTTGATCCATCTAGATTTTATTTTGATTTTAAAAGGTACCCCTCTAATGGCCAACCAGTTGTTCCAATGTTATTTACTGGATAATCCATTTCCCCCTTCCCAAATGCTACCTTTTATCACATAACACCTTTCCAATATACCTGACACCCTAGAACTTGATTTAAATATGTTAATAAAAATTAACACACACCAGGAAATAAGTCCTCTCGAATTTCTGAATTAAATAAATTTATTTTCAGACTGTAGTTCAATATTCTATTTCATAGGTGAGGAAAGTGAGGCCCAGAGAATTGCAGCTATTTTCCCAAGCTGAGACACAGCTAGTTAGCGGCAGAGCCAAGGATGAGAACCTGTGTTTTCTCATTCTCAGCTCAGTGCGTTTTTATGCGATTCCTTAAAGAAGACATTTAACTTTTAGAAGAGTTAGGCTGTTGCAAAGATTTGAACGTTAAATCAAAAAAATTAAATAAATTTGAAGAAAAGTTCATAGATGTTCACAACCTTACATATGTCATACTTTGGTACAATATCCTCTTCAATAACTTGCTGACTCATTTTTCTTTACCTGCTCCCAATGCAAGTTATGAAATGATTATGTGTGTAACTTTTTCTTTCAAAGAACAAAATATTTTTGAAACGTTTACTGACTAAAAAAAGATTTATATTTACTGAGAGTTATAAAGTTACTAGGTATATAATCAGAATATGCAGTTCTTGTTTTTGAGGAGGTAAAGCTCATCTTCACCTTATCATGAGAGCATTGCAGAAGGGAAAATGATGGCAAAAATATAGTCATTTCAGAGTCCACCATCATTACTGTCAAAATCATATGTTTGCATGGATTTAAATTCACAGTTTATCTCCTTTGATCTTGACAGTTGTGGACATAATCATTAAGCCCATTTTAGAGGTAAAAAAGCAGAAGCTCAGAGAAGATAAGGGTATTTCTCTTGGTTAGTAAAATGGCAGCTCTAGGAACCAAATCTCACTTTCTGGCTCCTAGATAAGTACTCATTCTGTTATAGCACAAGCTTTTCTCAGTGGAGAGAAAAAGTGAATTGCAGAAGATAAGGATCATTATGTAGTAATGTAACTCTGTGTTTAACTTTTTGAGGAGCTGTCAAACCGTTTTCCAAAGCAGCTGCACCATTTTACGTTCCCACCAACGATGTATGCGAGTTCCAAATTTCTCCACATCCTTGTCAACGCTTGTTATTGTCTGTTTTTTAAATTATAACCATCCTAATGGGTGTGAAGTAGTACCTCAGGGCAGTTTTGATCTGCATTTCCCTAATGAAGTTGATCATATTTTCATATCCTTATTGGCCATTTGTATATCTTCTTGAGAGAAATGTCTATTCAGATGCTGTGCCCATTTTCCAATCAGATTGTCTTTTTTACTGTAGAGTTGTAAGATTTTTTTTATATATTGGATAAAATCTGGATACTAGACCCTTATCAGATACATGATTTGCAAATATTTTCTTCCATTCATAGGTTGCCTTTCCACTTTTTTGATAGTGTTCTTTGAAGCCTAATGGTTTTTAATTTTGAAGTCTAATTTCTCTATTTTTAGTTTGGTTGCTTATGCTTTAGGCATCATATCTAAGAACCACTGCCTAACTCAAGGTCATGAAGATTTACCCCTATGTTTTCTTCTAAGAGTTTTATAGTTTTAGCTCTTACATTTAGGTCTCTGATCCATTTTGAGTTAATTTTTGTATATGGTGTGAGATAGGGGTCCAAATTGATTCTTTTGATTGTGGATATCCAGTTGTCCAAGCACCATGTGTTGAAAAGACTATTCTTTTTCCATCCAATTGTCTTGGCACCCTTGTCAAAAATCAATTGACTATAAAGGTATGGTTTTTTTCTGGACTCTCAATTCTATCCTGTTGAGCTATACATCTGTCTTCATGCCAGTACCACACTGTCTTGATTACTCTAGCTTTGTAGTAAGTTTTGAAATCAGGAAATGTGAGTCCTCCAACTTTGTTCTTCTTGGTCAAGATTTTTTGGCTATTCTGGGTCCCTTACAATTCCATACAAATTTTAGGATCAGCTTGTCAATTTCTGCAAAGAAGTCAACTGGGATTTTTATAAGAATTGTGTTGAATCTATAGGTCAATTTGGGGAAGAGTACCATCTGAACAATATTAAGTCTTCCAATCCATGACCATGGAGGTCTTTCCATTTACTTAGGTTTTCTTTACTGTTTATTAACTCTAATTTTTTTTTTTTTTTTAGGATTCTTTCTGATTCTCTTTATGTAAGATTATGTCATCTGTGAATAGAGATAGTTTTACTCCTTCCTTTCCAATCTGGTTACCTTTTCTTTTTTCTTGCCTAATTGCCCTGGCTATAACCTCCAGTACAATGTTGAATAGAAGTGGTGAGAGCAGACATCTTTGTCTTATTCTTGATCTTAGGGGGAAAGTTTTCAGTCTTTCACCATTAAATATGATGTTAATTGTGGGTTTTTTGTAGATGTTCTTTATCAGGTTGAGGAAGTTCCCTTCTATTCTTAATTTGTTGAGCATTTTTATCATGAAAGGGTATTGGATTTTGTCAAATGCTTTTTCTGCATCTATTGATACAACTACATGGCTTGTCTTTTATTCTGTTAACATGGTGTATTATATTGATTGATTTCTGTATGCTGGGACAAATCCCACTTGGTCATGGTGTATAATACTTTTTTATATGTTGTTTGAAGATTTTTGCCTTTATCCTCATAGGGGATATTGATTTGCAGTTTTCTTTTCTTGTGATGTCTTTATTTGGATTAGCCTACTGTGGGTTTTATACTAGTTGCTCCCTCTGCCTGGAATGCTCTTTTCCTGATCTTGGCATGGCTGGTTCCTATTGTCTTTCAGATCTCAGCTTAAATGTCAGTTCAGAGAGGCCTTCCCCATCTATACAGTCTAAAATAACCTCCAGTTAGTCTATCACATTATCCTATTTTAATTTTCATCAAGGAACTTGTCACTCTGATATTTTTCTTATTTATTTGCTTATTTGTCTCTCTTCCTATATCATCTTTATCTCTAGTACCTAGAACAGTGCCTGACACATAATAGGCCTTTAATAAATATTTAATTTAATGAATGAATGAATAGTAGGTATCATTTAATGAATATTTACTCTGTGCCCGATATTGTATTAGATGCTTTATATACATTATATCAGCCCTAATTTTCCAATTAATAAACTAAAGCTTAGAGGTTAAGTAACTTTCTCCCAAGTCTGCAAAGTTAGGAAGTAGCAGAGACAAGATGGGACCCAGCTTTGTCTGGCTCTAAAGTCAATGTTGCTTTCCCTAGCCATTCTGCTACAGTGGGAAAAGTACAGGGTTTGAAGTCACAGTTCTGGTTCAAAGCTTGACTCTCACTAATTAGCAGTGTAACCTTGAACAATGTTCAGTAGCCATTCATTGAGTATCTACTGTAAGTCTCAATTTCCTCAACTTAAAATGGGATAATACCCACAACATGAAGTTGTGATCCTCACTGAAGAACTTTGCATGCTACAGATATTCAAGAGTAGTTCTCCATTTTACCCAACATTAATAACAGAGATGGTCCATTAAAAACTCACACTAGGTAGACCCAGAGTTCAAACAACACAAGAGGCTATCAAAATGAAAGAAAAAAGCCAATAAATTTGTCAAAAGAACTGAGACTTTACCTCAGATATTTTAACAAGTTGTTACATTACAACTCTCCTTTGTGTACCACATATGGAAATCAAGGATTTAAGAATTCAATTATAAAAAACTGGCCATAGGCAGAAAGATATACTGGAAACAGCATGGGATTAGGACTTAGAAGATTTAAGTTCATTATTAGTGACTGGGTACCCCTAAGTTAGTCACTTCATTTTCATTCCCTTCATCTATGAAATGGGATAGTAAAACTTGGTTATGGAAAACTGAAAAATATATGTGAAAGCAATTTGTAAATTCTAAAAACTTAAAGTCTGAAGAATATTTTTTAAATGAATTTCAGATAACACATAAGAACTGAAAGCAGTGACTCAAACAGATATCTGTACACCCATGTTCATAGCAGCATTATTCACGACAGCCAAAAGGTTGGAAACAACCCAAACATCCACCAACAGATGAGTGGATGAATGAAATATGGTATATACATACAATGGAATGTCATTCAGACTTAAAAAGGAATGACATACTGATACATAGCACAACATGGATGACCCTTGAAGACATTATGCCTAGTGAGATAAGCCAAACACAAAAGGACAAATACTGCATGATTCCACTTACATCTGGTGCCTAGAATAGGCAAATCCATAGAGACAGAAAGTAGGACAGAGTTTACCAGGGACTATGGGGAGGGGGAATGGGAGTTATTGTTTAATGGGCACAGAGTATCAGTTTAGGATAATGAAAAAGTTCTGGAGATGGATAGTATAGTGGTGATGGTTATAAAACAGTGTGAATTTATTTAATGCCACTGAACTATACACTTAAAAATGGTTAAAATGGTAAATTTTGTTATGTATATTTTACCACATTAAAAAAATAGTTACTTTAAAAAAAAATGAATTTCAGGATTTTTAGGTTTAGTTTATGAGATTCATTCTTAAATAAAAATATTTCAAAAGTGAATTACACACACACACACACACACACACATTTAGGTAAAACTGCAATCCGACTTCCAACTTACTATATTTCCGATGGCACGATAAAGTCTGAATATTTGCTCTGAAGTTTGTTCCTCCCATTTTATACAGCTGGTACCAGCAGAAATCTTAGGGGCTACAAGATAAAGACAACAGCAAGAATGAATATCAGGTTCAATGTCCATGAATTAATAACTATTGATGCTGAATGACAGATACAAGATAATTCATTACATTATTTTCTCAACTTTTGAATATGTTTGAAATTTTCCATAATATAAACTAAAAGTAAATAAATAAGTCATACAAGTACTAGAAGAAAACATGGGTGCATCTCTTTATAACCTGGGAGTAGAAAAATGACTGAACAATGACTCAAAATCCAGAAGCAATTAAAGAAAAGAATCATAGGGCTGGCCCCGTGGCTTAGCGGTTAAGTGTGCGCTCTCTGATGCTGGCGACCCAGGTTCGGATCCTGGGCGCGCACCGACGCACCGCTTCTCCGGCCACATGGCCGCGTCCCACATACAGCAACTGGAAGGATGTGCAACTATGACATACAACCATCTACTGGGGCTTTGGGAGGAAAATAAAT